AATCACAGTAAGGTACTTAATTGTTACCCAGAAATTATTTGATATTGAGATAAAAACAGCTGCATTGGACCTTTTTAAGAGGTATTTTAAAAGGGTGTATTTATCCCAATCCTTCAAAAAATATGCAGAAACTCTGATGCAGGCATAGGTCAATTCAAAAGGCTTTGTAATCTAAAATCAAATCCACTCCCATCTGAGATTGCTATGACCTTACCACATATGAAAGGGGTTAGTTATAATAATATTTTACCTTAGTGTCAGTGGCTCTGCCACACTTTGGATGTGTCACAGTGCTCTCTAGTGGTAAAAGAGAATGTCAGCTAACATATCCTGGGGACATATCACTATTCTTTGATACTCATAAAACTAGTAGATGAAAGTAGGTGCTTTACGAAGTATTTTTTAATTGACATTCGTTAACAGTATATTTGCTTGAATTGAAAGCGCAGCCTGAGAATTACTGCATGTGAGCCCAACAGACAACCAAAGAATACTGTCTGGACAAGAAAATCTAGGAGGACATAGTGGGGACAGACAGTGAAACATGTAGACCTGTGAGAGGGTTTCTGAGAACAAAATAATTGTTGTAAAACGTTCACTAGCTGAAATCTCTCAAAGAGGAAATATCATGTGAGATATTTTCAAAATAGGCAACAGATTGATGTTTGAAAATTGCATTTCTTGTTCTTCACCACACAACATGTGCATAGCATGAGACACATTTTCAACAGTAACTTAAAGCATACTGCACAAAAACATAGTGTAGAAAATAAATAAAAATACATTAATAACGCCCTTCAATCTTGTACTGTATATCTGACATTTTGCCATTTCAAAATGCTTTCAGGAACATCTTACTAAGTATATTATAAATTGTTATACATTTCCTGTATACACTTTATCTTACAGCCTTCCAATTGTATAATAGCAACTATAAATGCACTCATTATACATTCCAAAATCTTAATTGTTAAAGGAAAGGGACATGAGATAAAGCCAACATATTTGATCAGAAACACAGGTCATTTAAGTACAGTAGTGTTCAAAGTCAGTTTCGGGTGTCTCTCTTCTAATATCAAATTACTATAACAATGCACATGAAAAGATAGGACATATACAATTATTCAATTGGTCTGCAATCAACTCAGTTATAGGCTTATGTCTGTGTGACAGTGGCATGTTGTCATATACAGTGTTTTCATGTTAAGGCATGGCATTTGCAGACTATAACAGCTGTCATATCCTATTATGATAAAGTCGCTATAGCATATGTGCATTAAATGACAACATGAGGGTAAATGAATAAAGCAACCCTGTGGGGTCAGTCCTAAAGGGTGTGGCATGGCAACCTGGAACTGACAAAAGACACTCCAACATGACGTCCATTTTGAGTAAATTACATTTTCATCATGTCATAGCACATACAGTGAGGGAAAAAAGTATTTGATCCCCTGCTGATTTTTTACATTTGCCCACTGACAAAGAAATGATCAGTCTATAATTTTTATGGTAGGTTTATTTGAACAGTGAGAGACAGAATAACAACAAAAAAATCCAGAAAAACGCATGTCAAAAATATTATAAATTGATTTGCATTTTAATTAGGGAAATAAGTATTTGACCCCCTCTCAATCAGAAAGATTTCTGGCTCCCAGGTGTCTTTTATACAGGTAACGAGCTGAGATTAGGAGCACACTCTTAAAGGGAGTGCTCCTAATCTCAGCGTGTTACCTGTATAAAAGACACCTGTCCACAGAAGCAATCAATCAATCAGATTCCAACCTCTCCACCATGGCCAAGACCAAAGAGCTCTCCAATGATGTCAGGGACAAGATTGTAGAAATACACAAGGCTGGAATGGGCTACAAGACCATCGCCAAGCAGCTTGGTGAGAAGGTGACAACTGTTGGTGCGATTATTCGCAAATGGAAGAAACACAAAATAACTGTCAATCTCCCTCGGCCTGGGGCTCCATGCAAGATCTCACCTCGTGGAGTTGCAATGATCATGAGAACGGTGAGGAATCAGCCCAGAACTACACGGGAGGATATTGTCAATGATCTCAAGGCAGCTGGGACCATAGTCACCAAGAAAACAATTGGTAACACATTACGCCGTGAAGGACTGAAATCCTGCAGCGCCCGCAAGATCCCCCTGCTCAAGAAAGCACATATACATGCCCGTCTGAAGTTTGCCAATGAACATCTGAATGATTCAGAGGAGAACTGGGTGAAAGTGTTGTGGTCAGATGAGACCAAAATCGAGCTCTTTGGCATCAACTCAACTCGCCGTGTTTGGAGGAGGAGGAATGCTGCCTATGACCCCAAGAACACCATCCCCACCGTCAAACATGGAGGTGGAAACATTATGCTTTGGGGGTGTTTTTCTGCTAAGGGGACAGGACAACTTCACCGCATCAAAGGGACAATGGACGGGGCCATGTACTGTCAAATCTTGGGTGAGAACGTCCTTCCCTCAGCCAGGGCATTGAAAATGGGTCGTGGATGGGTATTCCAGCATGACAATGACCCAAAACACACGGCCAAGGCAACAAAGGAGTGGCTCAAGAAGAAGCACATTAAGGTCCTGGAGTGGCCTAGCCAGTCTCCAGACCTTAATCCCATAGAAAATCTGTGGAGGGAGCTGAAGGTTCGAGTTGCCAAACGTCAGCCTCGAAACCTTGATGATTTGGAGAAGATCTGCAAAGAGGAGTGGGACAAAATCCCTCCTGAGATGTGTGCAAACCTGGTGGCCAACTACAAGAAACGTCTGACCTCTGTGATTGCCAATAAGGGTTTTGCCACCAAGTACTAAGTCATGTTTTGCAGAGGGGTCAAATACTTATTTCCCTCATTAAAATGCAAATCAATTTATAACATTTTTGACATGTGTTTTTCTGGATTTTGTTGTTGTTATTCTCTCTCACTATTCAAATAAACCTACCATTAAAATTATAGACTGATCATTTCTTTGTCAGTGGGCAAACATACAAAATCAGCAGGGGATCAAATACTTTTTTCCCTCACTGTATGTCTGTGGGCAAGGGTAGACACACAGGCATAAACTGAAACAAAATCAAACATGTTAACTCTGCTAAAACACAAGCGGTAACAGGTCAACAGCATTGTATGCTACTGTATTTCTTTCAGCAAAAACTATATTGTATAACAATTGCAAGTGGTGTTACATTTATAAACATTTAAAAATATAATAGATTTGTGTTTGAATAGTGGTATACATATTTCAGGTGAACTTACTAAGTATCAACTCCTTACAAGTACAACAAATATTCAGGAAGAATAAGATCCAGTACAATCTAAACACAATTCCCGCAAATTTACTTCAAATCATCTCTCTCTTGGATAAAAAAAAACTTCAATATGTCCTGTTGTGTTTTCCATGCTTGAAAAAAATCATGTAAAAAACACATTAACATATTTTTTACAACTTCCAAAATAATCTGTGGTGTTATACACAGTCTACAATATACAGATGAAACAAATAAATTTTGTGATAATGAAACATTCATAATATCCTGACTGAAGTGTGTTAAAACAAGAGAATACGCACCTCATGTAAACATCAAATGGTTCTCAAAATCAAGAGGGGAAAAATACGTTTTCACATGGAGCACGTCGAAAGGTTATTCTTCTGATCAGACATTGGTGATAAAGCGGGTTTCTTCACCTCCCTTCACTCTAATCACTTACAGTGAAACTGAGGTTTGTGTGATTTTCCCAATCAACATCAAGGCTTACGTCAATTCCACATATTTCGTGATAACAAATAGTTTTGACTTAAGTTACAGTACAGTATAACAACTAGTATCCTTAGAATCCTCAAACAGTCATTTTGCAATTGTGGGAGGGTCTTGCTATACTATTGAATCTCTCTTGACATATCACAATGTTCACAAAATCTTGGTAAAAACTTTAATTTCTTTAAAGTTCTTTACGGACAATATGCTTTGGTTATTATTTTAGTAGTAATACTCTTCAGCAGCCATTTTGTGAGCCAGTCCTTTGCTGATGTCATATCCTGGGATAATCCCAGTGGCAGCAGTATTTGAAGTGGAATTGCTGAAGTTGGAACACAACGTTATGATATAATGTTGGTTGTAGTGGTTCTTCACGTGACAGAATTTGAGGAATTTCTCTCCCTCTTATAATGCGAGTTGAGGCATTTCTTCTAGTGATAATGGTGGTTCTGATTGGTGATAGATCATGTGACGATGCTAGCTGAGGCTGTTGGTGCAAGGTGCACTGTGAGAGATGGACTAGCCTATTCGTTGGTGTGATGTGTTGAGTCAAGGCCCTGAGTACCGTTATAGGCTGAGGCCAAATAAGAGCTATTGCATACAGCTTGGTTCCTTTATGCAATATCCCCTTAACAAAGGTACATTGTAACAGGTGAGTAATGCATGCGGTGGTGGTTGGCTTTTCCTTTTGCTTGTACACTGTACATAGATAGTTAAAAAAGAGAAATGTACAGTCTTTGTATTGAAATGTACAGTAAAAAGGGAGTGTTGCATACAGTAGAGTCCTCAGTCCTGAGGCACAGGATCCGACAGTAAGATCTTGACTGCTTTCCAAATGGAACCCTATTCCCTAGTGCAGGGTCCACCAACTGGCGGGACGTGGTTTTATTTAAATGGAATAAAAGACTGTAAAAACACCAGCAAATCAGCTCCTAGTCATTTTAACTTTGTAAATCTGTTCCAAAGTATTCCCACACATAATAGAGAGATATTGTGAACATATACAAATGTAAGCAAAATTTGAAATGATTGTTTTAGTCAAATATTATATCTGTTTGGGCTTCTTGCGGTCAATTTGCAGTATACAAATTATTTGTAATTACAGTATGTTCCGGCCCCCTGACCATCTGCTCAAGGAGAAATTGTCACGTGGCTGAATCTAGTGGATGATCTTTGCCTTAGTGCAATACTTAAATGCACTATATAGGGAATAGGGTCCCATTTGGGACGATGTCTTTCTCCTTCACTCAAGGCCAAAGGTGCTGGTCTCCTCCACAGCGATAAGCAGTTTATCATAGAGCATGGTGTAGGACAGGTACGGAGGGAGATCCAGACGGTTGAAGCATGTGTGCGCCCTGGAAGATAGATATACTGTAGATCATCAGCATTAGACAACCACCTCAACTGAATAGTTTTTCGCCAAATATGTTGTATGTGAAAGTTATGCAGGGGTTTGAAGGTTAACATAATTAGGAAAGTTTGAATCCAAAGCATGTACAGACCTGTAATAGCAGAATGTAATCATACAATTATAGTCTTGGGTAGAGAGTTTACTGTATATTACCTGGGTAGAGCGGTGATCTTGCCCCACTTCTCTATACAGAAGCGTCGCAGGCCGTTGCTGCCCCGTAGCGCAGTGAAGCCCTCGTAGGGAACACTGGAGGTGCCCGTCACAAACTGCAGCAGACGCAGCCTCTGCTCATTGTTGAAGCGCTCCACAGCCCCCCAGAACCACCGGATCACTATGTGGCTGTCATGGTAGCCTGCAATGGAGAAGGCCAATGAAGAAGGCATGTTACAGACGGGGTACAGGGGTGGTAGCTGGTCCCATACCGGATGTGCAGTAGCCAACTCCTTTATTGTTGACATGCCATAGAAAAGATGGCTATAGCATATACAGTTTAGGACCAAGGGCTACAGGCTACAGGGGGGCTGGTTCAACAAGGGAATGTGGCCTGTGTCTTCACAATTAAATGTGCTCCTTATATCACATGCCTTTCACAAACACATATTATCCATAAAACACGTTGGGCTAGATTACCGTACCTACTACAGTCACCATAGTCCTAGACTAAAAGCATGTTCATTGAAGATTCTCCATTAGGTAATGTCCAGTGATGTGCTTCACTGCAGTCTGCTCACCTCCTCTATACTCTGTGTTGTTCCTCCAGTCATTGAGGTCTATCTCAGCTGTCCCAGCAATGACCAGCTCCAACTCTCTGGCATCGAACACTGACACCAGCCGTGAGTCCACCACCTGGAGAAATATTGCAGGAACATAGAACATACTGTATGTGACTCGTTTCAGGAAACTAGGCATATGTCACACGTCACTACTTCACAGGAGAGGCATTTGAACGAGAGAGAGAGAGAGAGAGAGGCTGTGTGCAGCGGTTAGCGGTCATGATATGAAGGTCTGGTCACAGACAGCTGATGTGTTGTGCACTGAAGTCCACAAGCGAAGGGAAAAGGTAAGAGGTGGAGAGCGCGTAGATAGTTGTGAGAAATAATTATATACAGTACCAGTCAAAAGTTTGGACACACCTACTCATTCCAGGTTTTATTTTTATTTTTTACATTGTAGAATAATAGTGAAGACATCAAAACTATGAAATAACACATATGGAATCATGTAGTAACCAAAAAAGTGTTAAACAAATCAAAATATAGTTTATATTTGAGATTCTTTAAATAGCCACCCTTTGCCTTGATGACAGCTTTGCACACTCTTGGCATTCTCTCAACCAGCTTCACCTGGAATGCTTTTCCAACAGTCTTGAAGGAGTTCCCAAATATGCTAAGCACTTGTTGGCTGCTTTTCCTTCACTCTGCAGTCTGACTCATCCCAAACCATCTCAATTGGGTGAGGTCGGGGGATTGTGGAGGCCAGGTCATCTGATGCAGCACTCCATCACTCTCCTTCTTGGTCAAATAGCCCTTACACAGCCTGGAGGTGTGTTGGGTCATTGTCCTGTCGAACAACAAAATATAGTCCCACTAAGCCCAAACCAGATGGAATGGTGTATTGCTGCAGAATGCTGTGGTAGCCATGCTGGTTAAGTGTGCCTTGAATTCTAAATAAATCACAGACAGTGTCACCAGCAAAGCAACCCCACACCATAACACCTCCTCCTCCATGCTTTACGATGGGAACTACACATGCGGAGATCATCCGCTCACCCACACCGCGTCTCACAAAGACACGGCGGTTGGAACCAAAAATCTCCAATTTGGACTCCAGACCAAAGGATACATTTCAACTGGTCTAATGTCCATTGCTCATGTTTCTTGGCCCAAGCAGGTCTCTTCTTATTATTGGTGTCCTTTAGTAGTGGTTTCTTTGCAGCAATTCGACTATGAAGGCCTGATTCACACAGTCCCCTCTGAACAGTTGATGTTGAGATGTGTCTGTTACTTGAACTCTGTGAAGCATTTATTTGGGATGCAATTTCTGAGGCTGGTAACTCTAATGAACTTATCTGCAGCAGAGGTAACTCTGGGTCTTCTATTCCTGTGGCGGTCCTCATGAGGGCCAGTTTCATCATAGCGCTTGATGGTTTTTGTGACTGCACTTGAAGAAACTTTCAGTTCTTGAGATTTTCCGTATTGACTGACCTTCATGTCTTAAAGTAATGGACTGTCGTTTCTCTTTGCTTATTTGAGCTGTTCTTGCCATTATGGACTTGGTCTTTTACCAAATAGGGCTATCTTCTGTATACCCCCCACCTTGTCACAACACAACTGATTGGCTCAAACACATTAAGAAGGAAATCAATTCCACAAATTAACTTTTAAGAAGGCACACCTATTAATTGAAATGCATTCCAGGTGACTACCTCATGAAGCTGGTTGTTATAATGCCAAGAGTGTGCAAAGCTGTCATCAAGGCAAAGGGTGGCTATTTAAAGAATCTCAAATATAAACTATATTTTGATTTGTTTAACACTTTTTTGGTTACTACATGATTCCATATGGAAACAGAGTTTGATGGCTAAGGAGATGTAGAGAATTCTGGAGGGAGTCGAAAAGAAAACACAGAAGGCTGTTGTATAAAACAACTGTCTCCGGATTTCATCTTCAAACTAAGGGCAGAGAGGGAGAAGCGTTCATCCATGTATACGGGTAAGAGTCTAGCTAGCTACATTTTCAGATATGATATGTTTCTAATTTTGTCAGAAAGTCGTTTTCACTGCAAGTTAAAGCGTACTGTTAGCTAGCTAGCTAACGTTAGCTGGCTGGCTGGCTCGCTAGGTAACATTACGTGTATGATCTGTGTAGTAATATTATTTGTATCTCAGAAATACATTTGCATTGCTAGTTATAGCATAATGTTAGCTAGCTAGTTAACATTGAACCTAGTTGGTTAGCTTTAGCTACCTGCAGATTCATGCATGGTGGCTAGCTATGACAATCAGTATGGGTTGAGATTATTGCCACATTCAAAACAACTGGGAACTAGGAACTCAGAAATCTCTGACTTCCGACTTCAGTGCATTCAAGACAACTGGGAACTCGGGGAAAAAAAACGAGCTCCGACTGGGAAAAATCATTTTCAACGGTCATCCAACACAGAATTCCAACTAGGGAACTTGGGCCTCTTTCTAGAGCCCAGACTTTCCGAACTGAAGATCACTGACGTCATGATTTGACCTCATATTTTCCAAGTTCCCAGTTGTCTTGAAAGCATCATTAGGTTCATTGTTTAGCTAGCTAGCAAGCTACATGTCTAAACATAAGACTTTGCCAGGTGATTACATGACCCATCAAGTTAGCCAGTTGTGTCTAGGGGTGATTACGGTAATCTATCGTATTTCATGAACATGTGTACATGTCTAGACAATAGTGACCCATCCACTTAGCTAGATGTGGCTGGGGGGTGGTTATAGCATTTATTTCACATGACCCATCAATTTAGACAAGTGTGTCTGGGTAAGAATCATCTAATAATTATAAAATATTTATAAAATATTTATCTGGACACTTTCTATTTTTGATATTGCTACTATGCAAATATACAAGTAACCAATTCACTGTGCCGTTTACACCTTCTGTATCCTGTGCATGTGATAAATAAACTTTGATTTTATTTGATATAGTGTGTGTTTACCAGAGACGGTAATGTGACGAACAACATGACCTGCACCAAAGTCAGATTAGGATATAGGCCAAGGACTAGATAAAGTGTACTTTTTGCTACTACTTTCACTATAATAATAATAATATAATATGCCATTTAGCAGACGCTTTTATCCAAAGCGACTTTACATTCATTGTGCATACTTTTTTTGGTGTATGCACTACTACTGCTATGGTTGCCCTTAGTTTGAAGATGAAATCCGGAGACAGCTGTTTTACACTTTTAGTCTTGAAATCTTTGGTTGTTTACTACACTACCTTACTCACTCTGTTTAGCACATGGCCTCAAATGTGAATCCTTAAAGATATGGGTGGGGCTAAGGCTTAAGAGGGTGTGAACGATGCTGAATGAGTTGGTAGAGCATGGCGCTTGCAACGCCAGGGTTGTGGGTTCGTTTCCCACGGGGGGCCAGTATGAAAATGTATGCACTCACTAACTGTATGTCGCTCTGGATAAGAGTGTCTGCTAAATGACTAAAATGTAAATGTAAATGAATGGGTGTAGACAAAGAAAAGCTCTCCAGTAGGTGTACAAAAACATTCAAGGCGCATTTTCTCAAAAGTGGGGTTACAAGTTTATCAACTTTCAAAGCAAACTGCAGTGTATGATATAACATTTTCTAGCTCTGAGTCTCTACTTTGATCCAATATAAAAAACACAATTTCAAATTTTGCTACATAGGATTGAATCGAGCCAGTCAGTCACATATTTAGACACATTGCTCCCATCATTAATTTGTTGATTTCATTTGATAGTCATGTTCTATTGCATTCTAAGAAACATGAAGAAATCATATTTGAAGTGCAAAGTGAAAACCCTCTTAAATCATAGCAAGGCTGGAAAAACAATAAACCAAATTGGAAATAATGGGGGGAAATCATGCCATGGCCAATGGTTGTTGCCCTGAGAGTGTTTGCTGTACCTCATAGAAGCCTCTGACCAGTGCCTCTGTCTGCTGGACCACTCCTCTCTCCACCCTCCACTTCACCATACGGTCAATGTACTCCTTCTTATTCTTCTCTGTCACATTAATGTTGGCCCCTCCAGACTTCAGCTCTCTCTCTGTTACCTGCCCACAAATAGAGTAATATCCATGTAACAATACAGACACACCTTACAATAGAAAAGTCCCCATGAAAGTGTACAGTATACTGAAAGATACACACTGTAAAAAAAAAAAAAGAACATGTTATACAGTACTTCAGCTTGCTTTGGGTGTATGTGTGTAGACACTGTACGTATTAGTACTTCACACATACCTGTCCGAAGACTTCCTCATTCACAGTGAAAGTAAGGTCCAGCACGTCAGTGATGTCATTGTCTTTCATCCACTGTAGACTCTGATGGAACTCCTCATCTAGGTACTCCAGATCACTCAGGTCAGTGGCTCTGCACAGGTAAACATATTTATTTCACACAACTGCTGTGGGGTTCACTAACTATTACTGCACAAAGCAATCCATTGTCTTAAAGTCAATCAAGGGGAGTGATTAACTCACTCACTAGCCTGAGGTACATTTGCTTTGTGTGTAAATGTAAAGAATGCTGATTCTGTCAGTTGTCGTAGCCTATCATCATCCTATCTGAAGAGACTTGTCATTAGTTCTCACTCTAGAAAGTCAATCTGGGTTAGACTGTGTTAAGCCTCAAACTACTGGCGACATTTATGCTTGATTGCACACTAATCAATTATGGATTATTTTTCTTTCTTGTGTACATGGCAGAGACATTTTTCCATACAGAATAATTGTTAAGGCCAATGCAGACAGACAGAGACACAGACAGGCGTGTGTGCGGGCAGACAGACAGACAGACAGACAGACATACACTCACAGTCTGAGGAGAGCCTTGTAGAAGGGCCGCGTGAAGAAGGCATCCAGGAGATACTGGTGGATCAACGCCAGTCCCAAAATACGCCCACTAAACCGGAACCTGCACAAAAACACACAGAGACAGGTCTCACACACAACTACAAATTCAATGCAATGAAAGTGTTTAGGTCTCATCACATGAGACTTCCATGAAAGCCATTCATTTTCTGCCTCCAATAGGTAAACAAATAAGAACAAGCCCATGGTCATGTTCATTAGGACAATGGAAAACATTTGAAAATGCTTTGCAATGGAACACGAAAAATAGTGTTTCTTAATAGACAAGTCAAGGTAGTCCCTCCCAGTTACAGTCAGTTTTCTTCCCGTTGGTACCTAATGAACACAACCCAGGTTTCATGAGTTTGAAGGAAGTTTAAACACAGGACAAGCAGATGCCCTCCTCACCATTCCAGATGGTTCTCTACGAAGGCGGACATGGGGCTGATTTGGACGGTGTACGTGTCGTTGGCTGAGTACTCAAACAGGCCGTAGTAGGGGTTGAACAGCTCCTGAGACAGCAGGAAGAAGAACTCTCTGGACGGCCCACTGTAGTCCAGCCTGACGGCATGAGAAGAGAAGACCAGAGTTATCTGTCAGTAGCAGTCAGAAGAATGAAACAGACATGCACTATCCTCTATATCTCCCCAAAATGAGCAGTTCATTCTTTAAAAGACAAGAGGGGTTTCTTTCTTGACACATGCATTACTTTTTCAAGTAACTGAATTGAATTCCATATTTGTAAAGACATGCACTTTCATGCAATGGTTGAACTCCAAGGATCAAAGTCCCTCTTTGTTGTAATGTCTGTGTTCAGGTCAATAGAAGAAGCTTTGGCGTACCCCTCCTCTCCTATGAAGGTGATGTAAAGCTTATTCCTCTGTAGTTCCTTGCGTGAGTAGGCCATGACCTGGTTAAAGGTACCCTCCAACAGGTGGTCTCTCCGGATGATAAGCCTGGAACACAACAATCATAGGATGCTGAGCAACACAGACATGGATATACAGCATGGTGCTAATTTGCATACACATTCCTAAAGCTTCTTAGAAACAGTAGGGTTGTATAGAGCTGTAACTGTATTTGAAAAAGGTGTGAGTGATCATGTTACTGGACAGTTTTCCTTACTTGATCTTTCCTGGGCCCTGGCCATAGCCTTTAGCCTCCAGTTTCCTGTAGAAGTTGCGCAGTTTGGCCTCAAAGTCTCTCCGGTAAGGGGCAGGCGCTCTCGCTCTCGACATTCCTGTTGACAAGCACATTCAACTCCATGACATAAGACACATACACAACACCAGGATAACCATCTGTGACATGTTTTTTTTTAAACAATTCTTGTGAATTAACCAAATGTTCTTGGGTGTACATTTTCAACCCACTACAGCTCCATTTGCCATTAGTGTAAACACACCTGGAGAGCTCTGTGGTGAAGACCCAGGTGAACAACGAGGAGAGAAGCTGAAGCCAGGATGGAAGGAGGGTGGAACATATGACATGATTTCCTCTTCAAACAAGCTGCAGGGAGATCCAAAAAGTAACAAACGTGAAGATAATTACAATACTACAACACAAAACATTTATTCACGGGTAATATGAACAGTTGCATCCTACCTCAATAGTATCACCAGGTCTGCATCACATGCCAGTTTCTCCAGTCTTTGGGTTCCCTCTGTTCTGATGTAGTGGATCTTTTCCCTGCAATGCCACATACACTATAATCTGGACTAGACTGGGTATGTGTGTTTTATCAAACCTGACATAGAATAGAATAACTTTATAACCCTTTATACTGTGTAACTATTCCTATAATTACAGTGTAACAAGTACTCATTATTACACTGTACTTAGGGTTACTTCAGGGTTAAGGTTAGGGTTGTGGTTGAGGCTGAGGTTAGGGTTGAACATGAAGCTAGGGTTAGGGTTAGGGTTGAACCGGGATGTGGACATGAAGCTAGGGTTAGGGTTATGGTTGAGGGTTAGGGTTGAACCGGGATGTGGACATGAAGATAGGGTTCGGGTTGTGGTTGAGGCTCGGGTTAGGGTTGAACCAGGATCTGGACATGAAGCTAGGGCTAGGGTTAGGTTTGAGGCTCGGGTTAGGGTTGAACCAGGATGTGGACATGAAGATAGGGTTCGGGTTGTGGTTGAGGCTCGGGTTAGGGTTGAACCAGGATCTGGACATGAAGCTAGGGTTAGGGTTAGGTTTGAGGCTCGGGTTAGGGTTGAACCAGGATGTGGACATGAAGCTAGGGTTAGGATTGTGGTTGAGGCTCGGGATAGGGTTGAACCAGGATGTGTACATAAAGCTAGGGTTAGGGGTGAGGTTAGGGTTACTGCTATAAGTAAGGTGTAATAATAAGTAATTACAAGACTTGTTACACTGTAATTACATGAGTAGTTCCCAAAGGGAAGTTCAGTTATGGAAGTACTTAAGGAACCAATACAGCAGTGAGTGAGAAATATTCACATTCTCTGAATCTACAAGGTCCTCATTTGAAAAATAAATCAAATTCATCCCCCAGTGTTTATCTACCTCAGGGAATGGTTCCTGGACAGGGCTGGCTGGCGCTCCGTTAGAATTTCTAATATTCCAGGCTGACGCAGGAAGACCACTATCTTCTCATTATAAGCTGTGAGTGGAAGGAAGACATTGAATTCAGAAGACAGTTAGACTTACAACAGAAACGATATGGTAAATGTGATTTATGACTGTGTTCTTTGTGTGTGTACAGTACTCACCTTGTGGTACTGGGTCTGGAGGATGCTGTCTCCGTATTGCTGCCACCACACTGTTCCCTGGCCGTGACAACAAGGCCACACCTCGACTACGGGAGACCTCAGAGGCCTGAAAAATTACATATGAAAAAAGGAAAATTATTTCCATAATTCTAATACATGATTGGCCCCAATTAAACAGTTACAACACTTAAAAACAAGGAAATGTCTTCTGTGTGCTGTTTGACTCTCCTGACCTCTCCTGCGCTGTAGCTGCGTAGTCTCTGCAGGTGCTGCCTGTGGGTCAGGTGGTTGGACAGGCAACCGTTCTGCAGCGGGATTCTGGGGTCGATGAACGTGGTCGCTCGGCTGTTGTGGTCCACAAAGAAGTTCTGGACCAAAGAGAAGATGTTACAGGTAAAAACTTACCAAAGTTAGAAACACAAATCTAAACACTGCTAGATCTGAAGGCAAATACCAAATCAAAAGAATAATTAGAATACTTATTCAACCCACCCCACCCCCCCATTTTTCCCACAGCCCTTATGTGAATAGGTGGGTGAGTTAGCTGTGGATGAACTAAGGATCTTTGTCTCTGTACCTTGCCCTGAGGGTCAGTCTTGATCTCCCAGCCCCGGGGCAGTTCCAGCTGGGCGTCAGCGAAGCGGTTGAGGAAGGTGACCAGGTCTCTGTTGTGCTGGTACCTCTCAAGGTTACGAGCATCTCGACGAATCTTCAGGATCATGTGCTTCAGGCACGTGCTGCTGGTGAACATGCGATAGGCCCCCTGAGAAGAGAAGAAGACCACTGCATGACCATGGAAACACCATACGCAACCAATCTGAACCAAAATGGAAGAATATTCAGCATCTGTTACTAAAGACTACAATATGTTACTGAGCATTGGAATTGCTGTTCAAAGGGAAATTATGCTTATTTGTCAGATGAGCCATGCTGACTGTGTATAGTTATAATTGTCCACTGGGGAGACAGGTACTCACATAGTTGGCGTGGAGGACAGTGAAGAACTCTGGGTGTGTGATGAACTTCACCGCTGGGCTCTGTAGCAGAGCTGTGATCTTCTGACTGTTGACTGGAGACGAGGAGGAGGAGGAGGAGGAGGAGCTGTCTCTTCTCAGCTCTACACACAGACACCAGGAGAAAACAAAGGAAAATTAACTGAATGGTGACTGTCGTGTACAATGTTGCATGTAGTACTTTGAAAAGTCTCTCACTAAACAGGCTCTGTGTATACCCATGAGTTTTACAAAGCAAGACTACACTTAAATAGCACTTCAGCTTATTGCATTCTGTAATTGTGACATTGTGGTGTGGTCCCACTTACCATTAGCCATTGGAGGAGAGTCTGTCTCACTGCTGTTGTTATTGAGGCTTGTTCTCGCACTCCTGCTTCTGCTTCCTTCATCCTCACTCCTGTCTGTGTCCATGGTCCTCTGTATACTCTGGTACCTGACAAACACACCAGCACACATTTACTAAACATCCTTAAGTCAGAGCAGCAGTGCCTGCATATAGACCATTCCTTTAAGTGTGCAAGACACTAGTGATTATGACTTATCATATACTATCTCTTATCTGAGTACGTTTACATGCACAGTAATAATTCGATTTTAAACTGATTATGGCAGTAGGCAGAATATGCAATAGTCATGTAAACACCTTACTCTGCTTATCTTAATAGGCATAAGGTCAACACCGAAGTAAGCATACGCTGATAAAAAAATAACATGGTTGCTGTGGTAGAACGTTTATTTTGATTGGCGATTTTCTGCATTTATCAGATTTTCTGCATTTATCAGAGTGCCATCAGGTAGCCTGATTTCAGATGTGTCCATGTAAACAGAATTATTAGGGAAATCTTGCAAAGCATGTAAACGTTTTAATCGAACTATTATATTAATCTGACTATCCACAATAATCGCATTATTGTGTGCATGTAACCATACTCATTGAGTTTATGCAGTCAAATCCAGCTTGAAAGGTCATAATTTGTCTGCCAGTGATATTTAGTGCAGATTCTTAATTGCCCGTAAAGGGATAAAATACAATTGTATTGCACTGAATATTGACTTTTCATATTGAATTCAATGTTAATTCATCCAGAGAAGAGAGAGGGGCAGAACCCAAGCTAATACTCACAAAGCCCCAGAGAGAGAGGAATTGAATTTGAGACCATTGATCAATGGATTATACTACCATATTAGTCTTCTACACGTGAGGTCTGACAAAGAAAAATATATCTGACACAGCCCGACACTGTCCACTGCTCATGCTTCCAGTTGGACACGCTTCTCATTCCAGACACACACAGGGAATTCCACCAGCGCAGCAAGGGCAGGCCCTGTCCTCTCCTCCAATAAGCATTTAAATGAATTTCTCCTCCCTCGCTTTCTGGGTCTCCAATCCCGTTAAGAGATTTCATGCACTGCAGTTGTAAAATAACACTTATGCAATAACACTTATTCACAGCCTGTTCTGCACATTTCTCATTTGATTATTACTGTCGAGACTTAGTTATTTTTTCTCCATTCAGAATATCCCAGGCATTTGATGGAGAGTTCTTCTAGTAATGGCTCTAATATAAGCATAAAAATCACACCTTACATAGCAAGCAGCCACAGCACAGACCAAATGTTCAGCACAAATATTTTGGTATCAAAGAGATTCAATAATTTGATCTTAATACAAAACTCCCCAATACTCATAAAGAACAGAACCATTTCTATGAAAATCATTAAAAAAACAAAAAAGCTTTACGTTCTTCCTACAACCACCAAATGGCCCTATATAGTGTATGTTTTCAGTTGTGCTTTTTGAACATACAATGAAGAAACAATCCCAAAAGTATCGTAATGACTACAAAACAAGTGTGTTATACCTTGTAGTGACTACAACATGACTACAGAAACGGTGTCTCCCTAGCTCTCTCCTCTTTCTTACCCTCTACCCCTTCACTCACCTTCTATTGAGCTGTTCCATCTGCTGAACGGATCCAGACCTCCTCATGCCGTCGGGCGTGGCTGCTACAGTGGGTCTCTGCCACGTGGTGGTCCTGTTGATGTGATCCACATAGAACACACGACCATGGCTGTCCACACGCGCCTCCCAGTCTACACACACACACACACACACACACACACACACACACACACACACACACACACACACACACACACACATACACACACACATGAGCAAACAAGAAAATGCACATCCAGAGGCGGCGCTCCTAGTGGCCAGTGATTTTAATGCAAGTAAGCTGAAATCTGTCTTACCTCATTTTTACCAGCATGTCACCTAGAGGTGAAAAACTGTAGATCACCTTTACTCCACACATAGAAACGGATACAAAGCTCTCCCTCGCCCTCCATTTGGCAAATCTGAAATCTGACCATAACTCTATCCTCCTGATTCCTGCTTACAAAAACTCAAACAGGAAGTACCAGTGATGTGCTCAATACAGAAGTGGTCCAATGAAGCGGATGCTAAGCTACAGGACTGTTTCGCTAGCACAGACGGGAATATGTTCTGGGATTTGTCCAATAACATTGAGGAGTTTACCACATCAGTCACCGGCTTCATTAATAAGTGCGTCGACAACATCGTCCCCACAGTGACCATATGTACATATCCCAACCAGAACCCATGGATTACAGGCAACATCCGCACTGAGCTAAAGGCTCGAGCTGCCGCATTCAAGGAGCGGGACACTAATCCAGATGCTTATAAGAAATCCCGCTACGATCTCCAACAAGCCATCAAACCATCAAATGTCAATACAGAACTAAGATCGAATCCTACTACGATGGCTCTGACGCTCGTTAGATGTGGCAGGGCGTGCAAACTATCACTGATTACAAAGGGAAACCCCGCCACGAGCTGCCCAGTGACGCAAGCCTACCAGACGAGCTAAATTCCTTCTATAACCACAGTGATTATTATTTGACCCTGCTGGTCATCTATGAACGTTTGAACATCTTGAAAAACGATCTAGCCTTAATGACCATGTACTCTTATAATCTCCACCCGGCACAGCCAGAAGAGGACTGGCCAACCCTCAGAGCCTGGTTCCTCTCTAGGTTTCTTCCTAGGTTCCTGCCTTTCTAGGTAGTTGTTCCTAGCCACCGTGCTTCTACATCTGCATTGCTTGCTCTTTGGGGTTTTAGGCTGGGTTTCTGTATAAGCACTTTGTGACGTGCTGATGTAAAAAGGGCTTTATAAATACATTTGATTGATATGCTCGCTTCGAGGCAAGCAACACTGAACCATGCATGAGAGCACCAGCTGTTCTGGACAACTGTGTGCTCTCGCTCTCCATAGCCGTAGCAGGGCAATTTGTGACTTGTTTTGGTAATCAGTGGCTGTATTGGAGGGGGAGTTGTTTCATCTCTTTTCTGAGTGTATATAATCAGCTTCTCAGGCTCCACCTCAGTGTGCTTCATTCTATAGCTAGAGGACTCCTGATATCTCCAGGAATGGTAAGTATAATTTATATTGTCTTTATCTGTTGTGGTCTAGAACTGTATTTTTGCTAGCTAGGGCCATCTACTTTAAGTGCTGCCTGTCTTCCCAGTGGCCTTCTTGGTGTGTGAACTGCTGACTGCTCATCATTTGTAGATAGTTGTTGACACATCAACCAGGATCAAAGGGCAGGGAGGGCAATTTGTAAATTGTTTTGGTAATCAGTGGCTATATTGGACGGGGAGTCGTTTCAGCTCTTCTAGGCAATCAGCAATTAGTACAGGGAGGAGTGCTCTCCACCTCTGCTAGGCAATTAGCAATTAGTTCTTCAGTCTCCCCTGGTTTCTCAGCGGCAGCTGTAAGTGGCGGTCGTGTCAGTGGCGGTTTTGTCGCAAAACTAAAACCGTAGCCGAAACAAAGATGGTTTGCCGAGTTGTTCCGCAGAGTTATTCAAGGAAGGCTCTCCCACTCTCTCACTTGAGTATTTTACCTAGTTATTTACAGATTATCCCTTTTTGCTCTTTTGTAGCTTTGTCAACTATGTGTGTGTTTTCTATACCTGTTCACACCTCTCCCTGTAGGCTTTACAGACGCTCCCCACCCCTTGGCTGCAACCCTTCTAATTTAGTGTACCCTGCATGCACAACCCATGTGGAATTCCGGGTCTCTGGCAGCATTTGGAACTACTGATCTGCGGTCAAGAATGCAAAGTTCATCTCAGCCTATGCTGCCCTTCAGTCCCTTGACTTTTTTACCCTGACGGAGACATTGATCACCCCAGAGAACACTGCTACACCAGCTGCTCTTTCTTCATCTGACTATGTTTTCTCTCATAGTCCGAGAGTATCTGGTCATCGTGGTGGTCGCACAGGTCTCCTCATTTCTCCTAAGTGGAGATTTTCTATTTTCTCCCTCTCTCACCTGTCCATCTCCTCATTTGAATTCCATGCTGTCACTGTCACTTGTCCACTCAAGCTTAACATTATTGTCATCTATCGCCCACCAGGTGCCCTTGGAGAGTTCCCCCGCCTCTTTTGACCTTACCCTTTCCAAATCCTCTACAACTCACAAAGCAGGCAATACGCTTGACCTAATCTTTACTAGAGGCTGTTCGCCTACTAATCTCAATGCAACCCCCATCCAGGTCTCTGATCACTACTTTGTTTCCTTTTCTGTCTCCCTTTCCTCCAACCCTAACCACTCAGCACCTATCCAGATGGTCATGTGCCGTCACAATCTTCGCTCTCTCTCCCACTACTCTCTCCTCTCCTATTAAAAATCCTTCTCACTCCTGTCTCCTGATTCCGCCTCTTCGACCCTACTCTCCTCCGTTTCCGTATCCTATGACATGCACTATCCCCTTTCCTCCCTTTCGGCTGGACCTCCCCTCCTGCTCTGTGGCTGAGTGACTCTTTTCGAGCTTACAGAACAGGGCTGAGGGCAGCTGAGTGAAAATGGAGGAAAACTAAACTTCCAGGACCTATCATCCTTTCACTCCCTCCTCTCTACCTTCTCTTCCTCTGTATCTGCTGCTAAAGCCACTTTCTACCACTCAAAATGTCAAGCTTCTGCCTCTAACCCTAGGAAAACTATTTTCCACCTTCTCCTCCCTCCTTAATTATCCACCCCCCCCCCCCCCCCCCTCCTCCCTCTCTGCGGACGACTTTGTCAACCACTTTGAAAAAAAGGTTGACGACATCCGCTACTCATTCACTCAGCCTATTGAGTCCACTGGTCTCACTCACACAGAACTACCCTACGCCTTGACCTCTTTCTCCCCTCTCTCTCCAGATGACATCCTGTGACTAGTAAGGTCTGGCCGACCAGACAACCTGCCCGCTTGACCCCATCCCCTCCTCACCTCTCCAGACCATCTCTGGAGACCTTCTCCCATTCCTTACTTCCCTCATCAACTCATCCCTGACCACTGGCTGCGTCCCCTCTGACTTCAAAATGGCCCGAGTTGCTCCCCTCCTCATGAAACCAACACTTAACTCATCTGACTATAGACCTGTATCCCTTCTTTATTTTCTTTCCAAAACACTTGAGCATGCTGTCTCTGATCAACTTTCTCGTTATCTCTCTCAGAACGATCTTCTTGACCCTAACCAGTCAGGCTTCAAGACGGGTCACTCAACCGAGACGGCTCTTCTCTATGTTACGGAGGCTCTCCACACCCCCTAGCTCTGACTCTACTGATAGCTACGTTATTGAGGAAAAATGTACTTTCTATGCCTGTGATATGTGGTTGTCCCACCTAGCTATCTTAAGACGAATGCATTAACTGTAAGTCGCTCTGGATAAGAGTGTCTGCTAAATGACTAAAATGTCAATGTAAACACGGGGCCCCTTTAGAGGTGCCTGCTTAGTCCCCTCCTGTACTCCCTGTTCACCCACGACTAAGTGGCCGTGCACGACTCCAACACCATCATTAAGTTTGCTGACGACATGACGGTGGTTGGCCTGCTCACCTATAGGGAGGAGGTCAGTGACCTGGCAGTGTGGTGTCAGGACAACAACCTCTCCCTCAACGTCAGCAAAACCAAGGAGCTGATCGTGTACTACAGGAAACGTAGGGCCGAGCACGCCCACATCCACATCGACGGGGCTGTAGTGGAGCGGATAGAGAGCTTCAAGTTCCTTCGTGTCCACATCACTAAGGAATTATCATGGTCCACACACACCAATGCAGTCGTGAAGAAGTCACGACAACACCTCTTCCCCCTCAGGAGGCATAAAAGATTTGACATGGGCCCTCAGATCCTCAAAAGGTTATACAGCTGCACCACTGACAGCATCTTAACTGGCTGTATCACCACTTGGTATGGCAATTCCTTGGTATCCGACTGCAAGGCGCTAGAGAGGGTAGTGCGTACGACCCAGTACATCACTGGGGCCGAGCTCCCTGCCATCTAGGACCTCTATATCAGGCGCTGTCAGAGGAAGACCCTAAAAATTGTCAAAGACTCCAGCCACCCAAGTCAAAGACTGTTCTCTCTGCTACCGCAGGGCAAGCGGTACCAATGCACCAAGTCTGGAACCAACAGGACCCTGAACAGCTTCTACCCCAAGCCATAAGACTGCTAAATAGTTAGTTAAATAGTTAACCAATAGTTACCTGGACTATCGGCATTGACCCTTTTTGCACTAACTCTTTTGACTCACATATGCTGCTACTACTGTTTATTATCTATCCTGTTGCCTAGTCACTTTATACCTAGCTATATGTACAAACTGTATCTACCTCAATTACCTCGTACCCCTGAACATCGACTCGGTACTGGTACCCCGGATATACAGGCAAGTTATCGTTACTCATTCTGTATTTATTCCTAGTGTTATTTATTTTATTATTTCTCTTTTTTTCTCTCTCTGCATTGTTGGGAAGGGCCCGTAAGTAAGCATCTCACTGTTAGTCTAAGCCTGTTGTTTACGAAGCATGTGACAAATACAATTTAATTTAATTTGACACACACACACACACACACAGGGGAGACAATGGTTATTTCTTAGTATTATTTGTTTTGTCTTGGTATGTATTGTTCATCAACAAGGAATATGCATGATATGACTCAGACAACATTTATACCAAATGCTTACTTGGTGGCAGTGGTTCATCGATGGTGGGGTAGTGATGGGAATCAGGACGCAGAGCAGGAAGCTGGCTAACTGGAGGATGACTGGAAGGTAAGGGACAATCTCCTATGGGATGACAAAAACAGGTCAGTATACCCTAAGTTATCCAAACTACATCTCCAAAAATGGTCAAAGACTCTAGCCACCCTAGTCATAGACTGTTCTCTCTGCTACCGCACGGCAAGCGGTACCGGAGCGCCAAGTCTAGGTCCAAAAGGCTTCTTAACAGCTTCTACCCCCAAGCCATAAGACTCCTGAACAGCTAATCATGGCTACCCGGACTACTTGCATTGTCACCCCCACCCCACCCCACCCCCTCTTTTATGCTGCTGGTACTGTTTATTATCTATGCATAGTCACTTTAACTCTACCCACATGTACATATTACCTCAATTACCTCGACTAACCGGTGCCCCCGCACATTGACTCTGTACCGGTACCCCCTGTATATAGCCTCCCTACTGTTATTTTATTTTACTGCTGCTCTTTAATTCTTAGTTATTTTTATTTTTTACTTATCTATTTTTTACTAAACACTTTTTTTCTTAAAACTGCATGGTTGGTTAAGGGCTTGTAAGTAAGCATTTCACTGTAAGGTCTACACCTGTTGTATTCGGTGCATGTGGCAAATAACATTTGATTTGATTTGATATGATATCTCAAGTTAGTATTCAGTGAGGAACACAACTCACGTCCTATCCTCCCACTGGGCCCAGCCACGGGTGATTCTCCATTTCCCATGAAGCTCTGGGGGCTCTGGACCTGCGTGGATGGGGCCTCTTGCCATTGGGGCATCCCATCCCCTGGCTCCCTGCTCTCCGCTCCGCTCACCTCCATGTCCTCGTCCTCTTCGGAGGAGAAAGCGCTGCTCCCCTCAGATGTCCTGCTTGCAGCCAGTAGAGGTGCCCGGGTGTGACCTCCTCGACCCTCGTAGCATGAGTTACTGCAGCATGGCTCCATGTCATCCTCGTCGGACACTCTCTGGTGACCCCTGACCTGGCCCTGGGGGTGGCGGCCCTCGCTGTCCAGCAGCAGGGCTAGGTCGGACAGACGCTCGATGGACAGGCTGCGGGGCAGCGTCCTCCTGGGGCCAGGGGTCAGGGGCTCAGCCTTCTCATCCTCTTCTGAGCCCTCCTGGTCCCTGGGGCTGAGCTGGTCAGGGCCTGGGTCTGGGTCTGGGTCTGGGTCTGGGTCTGGGTCTGGGTCTGGGTCTGGATCTGGATCTGGCTCTGTCTCAGCCTCCTCTCCCTCCCCGTCCTCCTGGGTATCTGGCTGGGCAGAGGGCAGGCTGTGGAGGAGGTGGTGGATGCGGATGTAGTGTGAGCGAGGGGTTTCAGGCTCCCCGCAAGCCGAGGCGATGACTGTCTCCAGCTCAGACACGGGCAGGGAGCAGGGCCGGTTCTTACGCCTAGGGGTGGTCCTGATGCGCAGGGAGCAGCAGTCCCCCTCCCCCTCCTCCTGCCCCACTGCCTGCTGTCCTGCTGGCTCAGAGACAGACCCTCCAGAAGCTGCATACGCTGCACTCTCCATGTCCTCCACTACAGCAGAGTGTACTGCAGGGCTGACCTGACCCTCTGCTGGGGCACTGTCCACACCCTCTGCCCACACAGCCTCCTGCCCAAAAGCCCTCTGCTCCATTGGGACAGCAGGCTGAGGACTAGAGGGGGTCTGCTGGTCCCCTTCCTCACTGTTCTCCTCTACCGTGGGTAGCTTCTCTGCAGCAACAGCTACAGCCACAACAGCCACCCCCTGAGCCCCATGGACCTCTGGTTTGCTTGGTTCTGTTTTTAGGTCCTCAGCTCTGGAACAGCCAGGCCCTGGGTCTCCATCTATGGGCTGCTTTGAACCCGAAGGCCCTGCTGGATCCCCCTCCATGGGAGTATCAGTATCTGTATCCCCTCTAATAGGGAGTTCTGGAGCTCCAGTGTCTTCCTCCTTATCCATGGGGAGTTCAGGAGCCCCCGGACCCAGGCTCATGGTGTCCTCGGCCTGGCCTTGGGCCTGGGAGGACTGGCCTTCCACTTGGTTCTCCTGCACAGCGGCACACTCAGGCTCCGTGCTGAGAGACATGTCCTCATCATCTGCAGGGGGAGAACAGAGCTCATTACCTCCCAGTCAGGGGCCTGGCTGCCACACAGTGGGGCATATCCACATTAACTCACATTCTATTAACTCTTAATAGACCACTCTGTTTCTGCTATGGTATGTCAATGAATAGAAAATATTTTATAAATCGAGGCAGCATGACAATATGGCACATGACAATACCAGAATAACCTATGCTTAATATCTGCTTGTCTACACCTAGATATGACAGTTGATATTTACAGACAGACATACAGTAGATATTATATATTCTAATTTTCCTACCTCTGTATTAAGAAACAGACTACTTTAACCTAAATGAGAGGAAGAAGACAAACAGGATGTGAACAAACCTGGGTTCAAATAGTATGTGTTTCTGTTCAAAAACTTTGAGCGTTTGATTGAGCCTGCTGAGAGAAACAGATGGGTGGGGTTTGCACCTTTGGGATTATCCCCTTAACGCCATTACGCCAGGCAAGTTCGATCAAGTGCAGCTAAAGTATTTGAAGGAAAACTAGTACTATTTGAACCCAGGTGATGATGTGTGTGAGAGAAAGAAGAACCTGGATGAATGGAGGAAGTGATCTCAAATCTGAACTGCAGCTGTCCACTGACATGTTCCGTTGGCAGCCTTCGGCCTAGTGTGTAGCTGACCACACGGTCACTGTGGAGGAGGAAAGAGAGAGGGGAGGGGGAGGGAGGGAGAGAGGGGAGGTGAGAGATAGAGAGGGGAGGTGAGAGTGAGAAAAGTGGGGTGAGAGAGGGAGAAAGGGAGAGAAAGAGAGGGAGGTGGACAGAGGGTGAGAGAGAAGAGGGATGAGGGAGAAGGGGGGGGGGGGGGGGGGGAATTCAAGAGAGAGACGTGTTACTGCTTTAGATGGCGCTTGTAAAGGATTTCCCAAATATCTATTCATAAGCATTTGATTATCCTGATAAACCTATGAGCGTCCTGTTTATTCCTGAGCCATACCCAATAGCATGCTTCTCCAGCAGCCGCTGCACAGGCATGGACAGCTTGCCCAGGAAACGTTTGATGATGGGACGACTCTTGGCAAACTTATCTTTCACCTCGATCTCCAGAACATCCGTGGGCAGAGATACAAAGTTGAAGTGCTGAGGGGAGAGAGAAAGACATAGCATCCATTTTTAAATGCTTGTATAGGTGCTGTATGTAAGTATGTGTGCAGTGTTATAGAGCTGCTTGTCACTGTGTGTAGTTGTTAGTAGTGCTGAAAATACTTGCAGCTATAGGAAACAAAGAGGGAGCTATCCATCGTGCTGAACTCAAAGTAAGACGAGTAAGAATAAGTACAACTTTGGAATGGAGGGAAAAAATACACATGAAACAATGCATTACCCAACCCTGTGTAACCTCAAATGACAGTGACGGCAAAATGTAAAGGTAAAGAAAATATGAAACTGTACGTTTTTTTATTCACCCCGTGATCTCTATGACAGATGAGCAATGCACTGGCATCCCTCCAGGTATCTCTATAGCTCTACATGAACTGACCTCTATGACTGTACTGTACTGTACTGTCCTGTACTGTTCTGTACTGTCCTGTACTGTTCTGTACTGTTCTGTACTGTTCTGTTCCGTACTGTACTGTTATGTACTGTACTGTTCTGTACTGTTCTGTTCTGTACTGTACTTGTAACAGAACAACCAGGAGTGGATCAGATATCACTGGCTCAGTATTACAGTATATACAGTACATGTATGCAGTTAACCCCCTGCCTGCCTAATGCATACAGCAAGCATGTTTGCATAATTTTTGTATCATTGTCCTAAATTACAGGTCATATAGTAATGGGATGTAAAAGTAGTCCATAATGTATACATACAATAGATATACAGTGAGGGAAAAAAGTATTTGATCCCCTGCTGATTTTGTACGTTTGCCCACTGACAAAGAAATTATCAGTCTATAATTTTAATGGTAGGTTTATTTGAACAGTGAGAGACAGAATAACAACAAAAAAATCCAGAAAAACGCATGTCAAAAATGTTATAAATTGATTTGCATTTTAATGAGGGAAATAAGTATTTTACCCCCTCTCAATCAGAAAGATTTCTGGCTCCCAGGTGTCTTTTATACAGGTAACGAGCTGAGATTAGGAGCACATTCTTAAAGGGAGTGCTCCTAATATCAGCTTGTTACCTCTATAAAAGACACCTGTCCACAGAAGCAATCAATCAATCCGATTCCAAACTCTCCACCATGGCCAAGACCAAAGAGCTCTCCAAGGATGTCAGGGACAAGATTTTAGACCTACACAAGGCTGGAATGGGCTACAAGACCATCGCCAAGCAGCTTAGTGAGAAGGTGACAACAGTTGGTGCGATTATTCGCAAATGGAAGAAACACAAAAGAACTGTCAATCTCCCTCAGCATGGGGCTCCATGCAAGATCTCACCTCGTGGAGTTGCAATGATCATGAGAATGGTGAGGAATCAGCCCAGAACTACACGGGAGGATCTTGTCAATGATCTCAAGGCAGCTGGGACCATAGTCACCAAGAAAACAATTGATAACACACTACGCTGTGAAGGACTGAAATACTGCAGCGCCCGCAAGGTCCCCCTGCTCAAGAAAGCACATATACAGGCCCATCTGAAGTTTGCCAATGAACATCTGAATGATTCAGAGGAGAACTGGGTAAAAGTGTTGTGGTCAGATGAGACCAAAATGGAGCTCTTTGGCATCAACTCAACTCGCCGTGTTTGGAGGAGAAGGAATGCTGCCTATGACCCCAAGAACACCATCCCCACCATCAAACATGGAGGTGGAAACATTATGCTTTGGGGGTGTTTTTCTGCTAAAGGGACAGGACAACTTCACCGCATCAAAGGGACGATGGACGGCGCCATGTACCGTCAAATCTTGGGTGAGAACTTCCTTCCCTCAGCCAGGGCATTGAAAATGGGTCATGGATGGGTATTCCAGCATGACAATGACCCAAAACACATGGCCAAGGCAACAAAGGAGAGGCTCAAGAAGAAGCACATTAAGGTCCTGGAGTGGCCTAGCCAGTCTCCAGACCTTAATCCCATAGAAAATCTGTGGAGAAAGCTGAAGGTTCGAGTTGCCAAATGTCATGCTCGAAACCTTAATGACTTGGAGAAGATCTGCAAAGAGCAATGGGACAAAATCCCTCCTGAGATGTGTGAAAACCTGGTGGCCAACTACAAGAAAAGTCTGACCTCTGTGATTGATAACAAGGGTTTTGCCACCAAGTACTAAGTCATGTTTTGCAGAGGGGTCAAATACTTATTTCCCTCATTAAAATGCAAATCAATTCATAACATTTTTGACATGCGTTTTTCTGGATTTTTCTGTTGATATTCTGTCTCTCACTGTTCAAATAAACCTACCATTAAAATTATAGACTGATCATGTCTTTGTCAGTGGGCAAACGTACAAAATCAGCAGGGGATCAAATACTTTTTTCCCTCACTGTAGGATCTGCGGTAGTGGTAGTACCAATAGTAGAAGAGGCAGTAGCAGTGGAGGCTCCTCAGAGGAGGAAGGGGAGGACCATCCTCCTCAGTGAATATCATAAAAATAAAAATAGTGAAACATTAAAAAAGTGATCATTTTGAGATAAAACGATACTAAATATATTAAAGTCAACAAATAATTGATTAAAACACACTGTTTTGCAATGAAGGTCTACAGTTGCCTCAACAGCACTCTGTAGGGTAGCACCATTCTGAAAAAGTTTCTTAAAAGGAAGCAAGCGTAAAGAAACGGAGATAAACATACCTGAATTTGTCCAATAGAAACTCTTGTTTGCATCTGTTAGACTAATGATTACACCCTAAATCAGCTAGATGGAGGCAAGATTGTGCAAGGCGGTATTGAATGTGTCAGTGTCTGTCACCTTGATTACTCAAATTTCTCTCGAACTGTGCACCTACGTTGTAAACTTTCATTCATAGGCTAGGTTGTAGCAACCTCATGATGGGTATAGGGAAAAGTAGTAAATAGCCTAAACCTATCCATGTTACATTGAGCTGGGTGAATGGAATATGAATGAGTCATCCAATATGCTGTAATAGAAATAAGGCCATGCTCATAAAAACATGTATCATCCTCCTCATCTTAAACGGCACCGACCGTCACTGGGCGGTAGTCATACTAATCATGGATTATATCACCACTCTCTTAGTGACTAGTGTGGTAGTGTGGTGATTCAAGGTCAGTGTGTTCTGAGCCTGCAACCTGCAGCATCATCACAAGCAGAGAGGCCTATCTGTATGGGCCAATGACTGTAGGGGAATGGGCCTGTGTTAGTTATTATCAGGATGGTTAACTTTCACTGTTGCTGTAGGCCACAGGCTGTAATGTAATGGCTGGGTGAGTCTGGCCTGATTGTTAAACCCAAACAATGAGTCACAAGTGAAAAGAGATTCCTTAATTTAACCCCTAGAGTCGGTGTCCACACCCCCGTGGTAATCTAATCAGCATAATAAAATAATATAAACTGTTTTAAACTAGCGATATCTGGCTCTCACAAACGCACAAACAACCTGGGCAAAGCGTCAAAAACATGAAAGGCTAATAGTAAAATGTTAAAGTAAAACAACAGATCTGTCAACAGATAGTAGACCAATCAGGCAAATCTTAGTCATAAGGCATATTGGGACAAGAGAGGTTTGTCTCAGTGACTTTATGTGCTAGCTAACATAAATTGATGGATGTACTGCAGGTAGTATTCAGACTTTTTTCACATTTTGTTACGTTACAGCCTTATTCTAAATTGGATTAAATCGTTTTTTCCCCTCATCAATCTACACACAATAACCCATAATGATAAAGCAAAAACAGGTCTTAGAAATGTTTGCTAATTTATAAAAATTTCAAAATAAACGGAAATATAACAATTACATAAGTATTCAGACCCTTTACTCAGTACTTTGTTGAAGCACCTTTGGCAGCGATTACAGCCTCGAGTATTCTTGGGTATGATGCTACAAGCTTGGCACACCTGTATTTGGGGAGTTTCTCCCATTCTTCTCTGCACATCCTCTCAAGCTCTGTCAGGTTGGATGGGGAGCGTTGCTGCACAGCTATTTTCAGGTCTCTCCAGAGATGTTCGATCAGGTTCAAGTCCAGGCTCTGACTGGGCCACTCAAGGACATTCAGAGACTTGTCCCGAAGCCACTCCTGCGTTGTCTTGGCTGTGTGCTTAGGGTGATTGTCCTGTTGGAAGGTGAACCGTCGCCCCAGTCTGAGGTCCTGGGCGCTCTGGAGCAGGTTTTCATCAAGGATCTCTCTGTACTTTGCTCTGTTCATCTTTCCCTTGGTCCTGACTAGTCTCCCAGTCCCTGCTGCTGAAAAACATCCCCACAGCATGATGCTGCCACCACCACGCTTCACCGTAGGGATGGTGCCAGGATTCCTCCAAACGTGACGCTTGGTTTTATCAGACCAGAGAATATTGGTTCTCATGTTCTGTGTCTTTAGGTGCCTTTTGGCAAACTCCAAGTGGGCTGTCATGTGCCTTTTACTGAGAAGTGGCTTCTGTCTGTCCACTCTACCATAAAGACCTGATTGGTGGAGTGCTGCAGAGATGTTTGTCCTTCTGGAAGGTTCTCCCATCTCCACAGAGGAACTCTAGAGCTCTGTCAGTGTGACCATCGGGTTCTTGGTCACCACCCTGACCACGGCCCTTTTCCCCCGATTGCTCAGTTTGGCCTGGCGGCCAGCTCTAGGAAGAGTCTTGATGGTTCCAAACTTCTTCCATTTAAGAATGATGGAGGCCACTGTGTTCTTGGGGACCTTCAATGCTGCAGACACTTTTTGGTACCCTTCCCCAGATCTGTGCCTCGACACAATCCTGTCTCGGAGCTCTACGGACAATTCCTTCAACCTCATGGCTTGGTTTTTGCTCTGACATGCACTGTCAACTGTGGGACCTTATATAGACAGGTGTGTGCCTTTCCAAATCATGTCCGACCAATTTAATTTACCACAGGTGGACTCCAATCAAGTTGTAGAAACATCTCAAGGATGATCAATTTCGAGTCAATTTCGAGTCTCATAGCAAAGGGTCTGAATACTTATGTAAATAAGGTATTTCTGTTTATTATTTTTAATACATTTGCA